TGTGGCCCCTCCGCCTGCCCCGGATTTGCCTCTCGTGTTGCCAGACCAGGCCTTTGTAAATATGTGCCCCCTGTGCATGTCCAGCCGCAGGCTGAATAAAAGTGCCCCCACTCAGACCGAGCCCCCGCTGTCATCTCTTCCGGGATAATGGGTGGCTCCGGAGGGGTGGGCTCGGCAAGGGGGGGTGGGGAAGGGTCGGGGTCAGAAACGGAGCCGAGGCGTCGGCCTGAGCAGGGAAGAGACGCTCTGTGGCATCACCGTCCCTGCATCCCATGCTGAGGCCAAAGGCTTCAGGGGCCCCGGCACGCGGTCTTGCAACCTTATCCTCACAACAGCCTGGTGAGGCGGTTTATTTATTTTTATTTATTTATTAAAACATTTTTATGCCGCCCCATTTGCCGAAGCCTCGGGGCAGCTTACAACGTTAAGTTAAAAAATACGGGCTCTCCGTATTTCAACACATAAGACTGATTAAAAAGGGCCACTCCAGCCCTCTGATGCAGACACTGTAAGAGCCAAGCTTCACGGCAAGGTTTCCAGTAGAACATATCTAAAAAGAAATATATTTTGTTTTCTCTGCATACCTGATTATTTGTCCTTCTACTTCCTCATCCACATCATCAATAAAGAGTTTGAAGAGAACGGGGCCCAGGACTGAACCCCGTGAAACCCCACTCCTTCCCTCCCTCCAGTGTGAGAAGGTGCCATTGATCAGCACTGCCTGTGCCCCATTAAGCAGCCAATTTTGGATGCACCTCTTGGCTTTTCCATCTAGCCCAGTTTTTGCTGATTTGCTTATCAGAATCGTGTGTGTCACTATGTCGCCAGCTTTGCTAAAGTCCAGGCTGATTGTGTGCACAGTGTTCCTTCTCTCTATTTAGGTGGTTACCCCATCCAAAAATGACCTTAAGTTAACCTGACAGGATTTGTTTTATGTGAAGCCATGTGGGCTTCAATTAATCATCCATTTTCTTCCAGAGGCCGGCAGAAGGATTTTTCAATAATTTGCTCCAGAATTGTTCCAGGCACTGACGTCAGTCTAAATGCTCTACGTTCCCAGATTCATTTCCCCCCCTGTTTTAACGGCAAGGGCAACCTTAGCCCTTCTCCAGTAATCTGGCACACTTCCTCTTTCCCATGATTTATGGAGAATAATTGGTGGTGATAAGAGCATCTGCCAGCCCTTTCAAGACTCCGGGATGGAGTTCATTGGGCCCTGGAGGTCTGACCGTGTTCACTCCATCCAGGAATTCCTTGAGCATTCCTTGTGCAGAAGTGGGAAAGAGAAATCTTCCAAGTTGTAGTGAGGGGGAGAGAAGTTTGAGGAGAGATCCAGGAGAGGAGAAGTAATGACCTTGATGGGAAGGCCATCCTGTCAAAACCCTTGGAAGCCATGTGGAAAACGGGCAGGAGGAATGGGAATAAGAGAAACAGAGGGCGATGCTTGATGGATTCATGGGCAGGCACCTTCCAGTCCCCCAAATCCAGAGATTTCTGCATCTCTGCCTCAGGGCTGGCATTCCTCTTCTTTCCCACCCTATCTGTCTGCCTACAAAAGGGAACATAATGCTGCACCTGGATTCCTTAAAATGGAATCCGTGCCCCATATACTAGCACTGGCTTCCTCCTTCCTCTCGCAGTTCCACCCTCAAAGGGCACGAGCAGCACCATCCGGATGAACTGCTTCCCCCCTCATCTTGAGGCACTCCCAGTTGCCAGACACGCTGCTGGGAAGCTGCCTGAGAGTGAGCCAAGACTGAAGCTTGTCTACAGAAGCAAAGATTTCGAAGAAACTCTTCTCCAGTGGCTGAAGAATATCAACACCCCTGCCCTGTACTTCCTATTTAACAAAGCTCTTTCTGAACACTGGAGTCATCACAGCACATTCACAGGCAAGCTAGTTCAGAAAGTCGTAAAAACAAAGCAGGTCAGAAGGGGTCTCTTGGGCCATCTAGTCTGACCCCCCGGCTCCAGCTGGCTCCGCTCATGTAAGCCCCAACATGTGGTTGCCCAATCTTTCCTTGAGCAACCTCACAGATGGGGTCTCCACCTCCTCCCATGGAAGCCCATTCCACAACCTATATGGAGAAACTCTCCTGTCCGCTGTCCCCCATCTTCAGGCTTTTCCTTTCTAGTTCCCTCTCTGGAAAAAGGAAAAACAGCCCCAAGCTATGTGAATGGTTCGTCCTTTCTCAAACAGCTCCCGATTGTCCAGCCAAAAGAGAATTGAAGCAATGTTGCAAGCGACTGAAGCAGCTGTGGGTACTTTGCAATGTAAAAATACCCAGACAACTCATGCTTTGTCTTAAGGAATTTTGTCTCTCTGATTGTAAAACCCAAACATCAAAGCCTGTTAGAATCCTGTAACTCCTGATTGTTTTAGTTATCTGTTACTCAATCCTTCGATGTGTCGTGATGTTTTTCCTGATGTCTATCATGATTTCTCGATATTTTTGTATTATGATTTTGTGCTTCCCCATTGTCCTCGCCTTCCCACCCATTCAGAATCTCATCACCACCCTGAAATGGTGTACCTGACCCACAACTTATAAAAACCATCTCTGCTCTGGAAAGCTCATAGTCAGTTCAGAAATCTTTATGTGCAAAAGGCAAACATTGAAGCCTGCTAAATTCTGTCATTCCTGGTTGTTTCATCTTGATGCATCATGATGTTTTTCCTGATGTCTTTAATGAGTTCACATTGTTTAAAGCTTATAACTTTCATTGGGGCAACTCCAACAGTCCTCCGTTAAAACCAGCCATTCCAGCTCTCCCATTTCGGCCCTGAGGCTTCCAATACTGGCTTAGAAAAACAGTCTCTAGTTTGTGCCAATTCAGTTCCGGCACCGTGACTTCCTAGATTTGTTCCACCATCTTCTACTGGCCCATTCCCTCTCCTCCTACATTTGGGCAGTCAGAAACCTTTTTGCGCCGGGTCTCATTTCAGCCGAACTGGATGCATCTCAGCTCCTGTTGTTATTTATTCATTTATTCATTAAAACATTTCTAAGCCGCCCCGAGGCCTTGGCAAGGGGCGGCATAGAAATGTTTTAATGAATAAATGAATAAAATAAGCCGCCCTGGCCGAATAAAATTCAATAATATTAACATTTAAAATGCTGCTTAAATAAAAAGGTCTTCGCCTGGCGCCGAAAAACAAATAACGACGGCGCCAGGCGGACCTCTCTGGGGAGCGCATTCCATAACTTAGGCACCACCGCTGAGAAAGCCCTCCTCCGAGTAGCCACCCTCCTAATTTCCTTCACTGAGGGCTCCCGGAGGTGGGCCTCTCCTGCTGATCTCAAGGGGCGGCTGGGCATATATGGACGTAAGCGCTCCTTCAGGTAACCAGGACCCAAGCGTTAACCACTTCCAACATCCAGGTTCCAATCCCGTGCTTGGAATCCTTTATTAACCAAGACGGGCAAGGGTCCAAAAGGCAAGTGGTGGGACGTGTTCATCCCGGGCTTCAACGTCAAAGCTGCTCCACCACCTTCTTGAGGTTCTGTGCCACCAACCAGGTTCCATTCTGGGCCAGGGGAACAGCTCCCTCGTGTACCAGCCCAGCTTGTGCCCACATATTCCCAGTGGCTAACAAATCCAATCCCCCTTCCCCATTCCACCATCTCACCCACACTTTGAGACTCTCAGCTCCCCCAGCCTCCCCTGGCCTGCATGTAGACTGTGGGCCTCATTGCAAAGGGAGAGCCGCACAGAATGGGGGCAGTTGGCCAGTCCACTCTGGCCCAGGGCCCAAGCCACGGCCTCTCCATGGTGGCCGAGAGGCACTCCCTGACGGGCGACCTCCCAAGCCGTATTCCAGGGCCGGCCAGAATTGTTCAGCGGAAGATCCACATATGGCAAAGCCCACCTCTTGCAGAGCCACAAGAGCAGGAGACAGGTCAGCAGTCTAGATACTGATCCGTTTTAACGAGGTCAGAGAATATGAATGACGATATTAGTTGTTTGGCACAAAGAGCTGCTCTACCTGAATCCGTTTATAACTAGCTGTAACTCAGCCCAACTGACTAATCAGGCCAGGGTGTTGTTTCATGGAAAACTCCCTGTTCGGGCTGTTTGGACTTCTGTCAAAGCTGAGCACTCCTCCTTCTTTCCAAGGGGTAAATTCCTCTGCCTTTGGCTCCTGCTCATGAGGAACCTCAGGGACTGCCCAAGAGGGACCTGGCTGCCCCTCTTGCGGAGGGCAGTCCTCCACAGCCACAACCCCCCCCCCCCCCCCAGCATCTGACCGGGCCGGGGACCACTGGGCTGGCTCTCTTCCTCTGAGGAACTCTCCTCCAGGTAGGACATGACAGGGAGGCTGCGGGACCCAGCACCTGAGGGTCCTCACAAGGGTCCTCTTGAGGCCCCAATCCTCGAGGCAGGATTCAAAAGTTGGAGATGAGAGGATGAGCCGAAGCCGGAGGAAGGTTTGCGCCCAGCTGCACCATGGAGTCAATGTTGCCGAGAGCAAAACACATGCGGCATCGCTAAAATGAGGGCCAAGGCGGCACAGTGTGGGCCCCCTCAGATACATCTGGATCTACCGTACGGTCACAATAAGCCTGGCTCTATTGCACCTCTCGGTGGAGGTGAAGATGAGGAACCTGGTCCACCGAGGAAGGTTCAGTGGCCACCTGTCTGTGCTCAGAAGGTGGGGCATCCGAGAGCAGTCTTGGGTCCAGGACGGATCCAGCAGAGTTTCCGGGCCAAAGCAGCCCTCTGGTTTGGCCAGGAATGCCCATGAAATGCCTCCTGGTGCTCAGGCAGGCCTTTGGTCCAGAGAGCCCTCTGGACTATTAGGGTGGCATATAAATGCAAATAATAAATAGAATAAATAATTTGGTCCACCCCAGTGTGGCTTGGACGAGATGGACCAGCCGGATCAGTTCTCCAGGATTTTCCCCTGTCCCAGCTGCATCTATGGGATGGAATGCGGAACTTCTGTATGGAGATCCGAGTCGTAGCCTCTTTTTTGCTGAGGTAGAGATGTCGCTCCGTTTCTTTTCTTGAGTCTCATTGGGCATCAGTAAAGGGCCATGCGTTCCACAGATGCCCCTATTTGGGAAAAGGTTTTGGGTCAGGTAGAGGAGGACATCTGATTTCAGGAAAAAAAAAGTGTATACCAGCACAGGATGTGGGCCAGCAGATGGGGAAGATGAAAATGTTTCTTCTCCAGAATCCAGTGTCACCGGGAAGCTGCTCCAGGAAGGGAAAATGTTCTGTCTGCAGTCCCTGGTCCCTTCCAAACTCCAGAAAAAGTAGCATGCTGCTCATTCCTAGCCTAACCACGTTCGCTTGGGGTCACAAGCCGGGAAAACGTCGCCACAGAGGGAGACGAGAAGGAAAGCCACGAACAGAGTCAGGCAATAGGTTTTTCGCTGAACGCCAAGCATGGTCCTCTGCTGCCGCCGCGTGGCCATTCCGCAGAATGCACAGCAGTCCGCATTGCTCACCTGAAGGGCAACCTCGCCCCTTGGGCTGCGTTGCCTCTTCGAATTATCCTTTTCCCCAGCCCAAAAAAACTCACCACAAAAGCATCGTTCCCCCACTATCCACGCTCAGGGAGTTTACACGCTGAAGGTGCGCTCCGGACGTGTTGAGTTACAGCTCCCAGCACACCCACTCAACATGAGCAAGCGCCTGAGCAGGATGGGGGTGGTAGTCCAACGCGTCTGGAGGGCGCCCAGCTGGAGAACAAGGGGGCTTGCAAAACGGAAAGGGTTTCCAACCTGGGAAAGTGCCTGAGAACAGCTCCCTGCTGCCCCCTTGTGTCCAGCGGGAGGAACGGTCCGGGTTTGTCCCTTAAGGGCGCGAGGGGCTGATTTTGCCCACACCTATCATGGCGGTACACACAACGTAGGCCATTGGTTTCCCTTTCAGAGCCCACAACGTTGCCCACAACGAACACGGCCGCTGTTACATCATCGTCGTTCCCTAGCAGGACAACAATGCCCTCTTCCAATATGGCCGGCTTCGGGATGTCGGTTCTGTGCCAGTACCCCTAATGTGCCAGGGTTCGGTTTGTTTAAGTCTTGAAGGCCAGCAAGAACATCACCCGCGGCCTTTCCCCTTCAGATCTGCGTCCTGACTGATGCCCATTTACGCCTCAACGAAAGCGAGCTGTCCAGTACATGAGGCGAGTTGCCCTTACCCGAGATGCCTCCCTTCCCTGGAGACGACTGAGGGCTCGCCCACAGCAATCATGGCGGCCACGGGCGCACGGTAGCCTCGACTTGCCCCTGTGCGCGTGCGCAGAGGCCCCGCGCGGGGCGCCCGGCCCGTGATGCGCTGCGGGCGTCGATGGCGGCGTGTGCGGCAGCCGGGCGAGCCTGGGGCCGGGTCGGCGCCGCGGGGCTGCCTCCCCTCGCCGGGGGCTTCCGCAGGCAGGTGGGTCCCTCAGGCGGGCGCGGGCGCCGCGCTTCCCCGGCAGGACCTGGGCCAGGGGTCACGACCTTGTGGACGGGAAGCGAGGGACTAGCGCCTTGGTGGACGTGAGGATAAAATAGCGAGGAGGAAAACGTGAAAGCCAGTTTGGATTCTTTGAAAGAAAAATGCAGATTTAGCAAATCAGTCGCAAGGACTCTGGACAGAGATACTTTGAAGTGGGAAAATCATGTAAAATTCTTTTGGAAGAACATGTAGTTGCACAAGAAATCTAGAGTTTGATCTGTGCCTACAAATGCTTTGGCATGTATGTAATTTAAACTTCCTGCACTGTTTTCAAGGCAAAGATTGCAACGCAATGTAGATCCAGTAACTGTCCTGAGTCCTAACAGTAACAAGCAAAACCCCCGACTGAATTCTGCTTTTAAAATTTACACAACAGAGAAAATGTAAACTGCCCAGAGTCTGTGCTGAAGGCACATCTGGCATCCCCCTGCAGGTCTGGGGCTGGTCTGAGCTTGGAGGGGAGACCACCTGGGAACTGCATGTAGACACACTGAGATGGGAGAGAGGTGGGATATCAAATGAATAATCTGGCTCTCTTTCAATGCAGTCCTACTCCTGTCTAGACCACCAGACTTCCAGCACGTCCTATGCTGTCTGGGAGTTGTAGGAGCCTTTCTCTGTGTACGCATGCAGAGAATTGTTGGCTTCTTATTAGGCATTATACCTGTTGACATTAGTAAACAAAAAATGTACTTGATTTTACATGTAATTACTGCGGCGAGGATTGCATTTGCTCAACACTGGAAAAGTGAAGAACCACCCACTGACAAACTGATCCTAAAAAAGATCTTGGACTGTGCAGAAATGGATAGACATTGAAGGAGAAAGAAGATACTGATTTCTATCAAACTTGGGACTCTTTTTATTATTGGCTAGAGAAACAGGACTTCGTATAGATTTAAATCTGTTTCTAAGTTATCATAAATGGAAAAAAATGTGGGGGCTGACGTAGCAGGTCCGATGTTTCTGATGACTGATGTTGTTTTTAGTTGTTCTTTGTTTTAGGGTTATAATTTTGAATAAAACTTATTATAAAAAAAAGAATTGTTGGAGGCCACTCAGAGAATTTCAGCTATCGTAATAATAGTAGTAATTGCACCCTTAAAGTCCGGCTTTTGTGGACTCAGATGGGTCTGTGTGTCTGTCCTCCCTGGGGCCTTGCGGTACCTTAATCACAAGTGTGCTGGGCTGGCTGGCTGATGAAGAGCCAACAGTCGGCATTCGGCAGTTTTCGATCTCCTGGGCCAGAGACTGCTGCTTCTGTTTGGGGGAGGCAGGATTTTCTCCACTGCATTTTACAGCAATGGGCCTGGGGCAGCACGGCCCAGCTCAGAGAAAGCCACGCCTTCCCTTTTTACTAGATCGCAGTTTGCATTTGCCCATGGCTGGGAGCAGCCAACGTTTCCATCAACCACAAAGCAAGACCGGAAAGCGGTGCTTTGATGCAGTCCGACTCGTCGCCCACCTGGCCCAGGCTTGCTGAGAGCAGCTGCCAGTGGCTTCCCCCAGGTTTGCAGCAGGATCCTCTTCCAGCAGCGCAGGGACCTTATCAAGATGCTGATTTCTGCAACTTGTCTTTCCAGAGCCACAGAACTTCCGTATATTTCCCATGGCCGCGCACGAAAGCACCTCATTCCCCGCATCGGGGCCGTCAAAATGGCTGCCGGGTTCTCCTGTTGAGGCCGGTGTACCGCTGTCAAGGCACTGCAGCTGCCGCCGCCGGTGTGCAGGTGAGGGAAGCCTGTTGGCAGGACCGGGGTGCCAAGGCCGGGAGGCTGGCCACGCAGGTGGCGAAGGCGCTGAGCAAGCAGGTCCTCAGAGGTGCCCCAGCAGAGCTGACGAGACTTCTCTCCCTCTTTCCTCAGGCCATTCCGCCAGCGGCCACCCCGCCTGTAGAGAACGCCCTCTCCACCGCCGACGTCATCCAGGCCGTGCAGGAGCCCAGCTTCGCTGAGCTGGGCCTCGGCGCTTACACCCCAGTCGGCCTGATCCAGAGTTTGTTCGAGAGCCTGCATGTGGGCATGGGGCTGCCTTGGTGGGGAGCCATTGCAGCAGGTGAAGCAAAGGCGGGCAAGCCTGAGGGCACCTTTGCGCTGGCAGGGAGAGCGGGTCCAGGTTCGGGGTGATGCCATGCCCCTGCAAGGCAGTATGGGGCCCTAAAGGGCTTCAGGGCCTGCCACCCATCGCCCCTCTCAAGCTGGGCAGGGGACGGCCTTTTCTGCTGTGGGGCCCATTGCAGCTCAACAGACACAGTCCAAGGTCCAAAGCTGGGTGCTTGCAGTGATCATATGCCCACGACAGGCATTCAGTGATTTTCAACCAGCTTGGTAGGTTTTCTTCCTTGTCTTTTTCTTAAGCTTTGCATTTTGTTTTAATTGTTTCAAAACATGTACACCTTTCTCTATAATCTGATGGTGTAGTAGGGTAGAGATTTTAAGAAAATAATGATTCTTTTCCTTTCCTTTCTAACAAACTTCCAAGTGGTTTGTGGTTAATGTTGCCTTAAAAACAAATAGTGCTCAGGGGCAGTTTGGACAATGACTTCTCTGTTCTTCTCGTTTTGTACAGTCTTTCACATCTGCTTGTGAGGGCTAGAATTGCACTGTGGGTAACGCCGTCGTTGGAATTGCACTGCCAAGTAACGGGGCTTTCCTTTCTTGCCAAACTCCCCAGGGACGGTGCTGGTCCGTTGCTTGGCTTTCCCAGTCAGTTTGAAGGCACAGCAAGAGGCAGTGAAACTCAGCAGCCATGCGCTCCAAATTACGAAGCTGACCACCCGGATCAGGGACGCCAAGAAATCTGGGAACAATTCTGAGTGTGAGTGGGCCATTGCGGCACAAAGGGGGGCAACCACTGGACGGAAGGGTGGCTCGGATCCAGACTAGCCGGTGGGATGAGGGAGGGGGGGCTTGAGGTGCTAGCACACCCGGGAGACGAGGCTGGGGGGGAGCAGAGCAGCTGGAGAGGCGTCGTCTGGCTCAGGTAGCAGCAAGGGTGGGATCTTCAAACACGAGGAGCAACCCACCTGTCGAAGTGATGCTGGAAAGAGAACCTGATCCACACAGAGCAGCATTTTTCCATGTTTTTCCTCTCACAAGTCCTCTTCCTCTTTCCCGGCAGTTGCAAAGGCATATTCTGAGCTGGCCCACCTCCAGAAAACGCATGCCATTAACCCTCTACGAGGATTCCTCCTGCCTCTGATCCAGGTGGGTCTCAACCCTGTGGCCGAACCAGCATGTGCTTCCCACTACCTGCCCCTGAATCATTATGGGTTGGATCTTGGACTGGTTCAATGGGGCCCATAGATGCAGAGTTCCCTGCCCTTCCCTCCTGAGATAAGACCTGAGGAATTTGGTACGCTGTGGAAGGATCCCCCACGCTGGTGGAGACCTCTGTGAGCAGATCCCTTCTGTCACTGTGAAAGAGCTCCTGTACCCCCCCCCCCCCGCCCCGGGGTCTTATTTGCAGTCCTGGCCCCTCCTCATTGCGCATGTTCCTTCTCCCTCTCTCAGGCACCCATTTTCATCTCGTTCTTCTTCGCCCTGCGCAACATGGCAGAGCTCCCTGTGCCCAGCTTGCAAACCGGGGGGCTTTGGTGGTTCCTGGATCTCACGGCCGCCGACCCATACTACGTCCTACCCCTGACAGTGACGGCCACCATGTGGGCAGTCATGGAGGTAAGGCTTGGGCAGCGGAGCTGAAGACAAGTTGGCTTTGGGGGCACTCCTGTGCCTGCCCGTTTCAACATGCACAGGGCTGCCTCTTCCGGCGCCAGCCACCTGGTTCCCCACGACCAGTGCCAGGCCTCTGGAATGCCCAAAGACCAGTGGTCCTCTTGGTGCTTAGCAGCAGTACTATATGAGGAGAGGGCAAAGGGGCCTGATTCGTGGACTGCCAGAAGAGTGCTACTGAATCGTAGAACCGAGGCCGGTGTTGTGAAAAGCAGTTTTCGTTCTGCTCCTCCACAAAAAGGGCTCCTGAAGTGACCCACGTTTACTCAGCGAGGAGGAAAGTCGCAGCCCGCAAGCGTATCATCTCGAAACGTTTGGAGACGAGGCCTGTTTCAGAGCCTGCAATAGCATAGGGCATATATGGTAGCGGGGAGAGGTGGCAGCAGAAGCCCCTCTGGTCCCTCTCCTTACGGGATGTGAATCATACTTAATTAACATTCCACCATTTTTCCTTCCAACCTTCCATCCCCAACACGAATGAGAAGGCCTAGATCAGCCCTGAGTTGTGCTGTGCTCACAACAGTCCTGCGAGGTAGGAAAAGTGGAGAGCTGGTGTTTGGCCCCAGCTTCTTGAGGAGGCAGGGATTCAAGCGCACCTGGGTGTGGAAGTGGGGCTCACCCACACACCACCCTTGGGTCCCTGGGCAGGACCCAGGTAGCGATCAGAGGAGAACCCGCAAGTGCCTGCAGGGGAGGTGGTATCGCTGCCCCCCCCAAAATTTCAGAGCCCTCAGCGAGAGGCTGACAAGGACCAACTAGCAGCAGATTTAACCGCATCTTCCTTTGCTCTTCGCAGTTGGGGGCAGAATCGGGAATGCCAAACCAGAACTTCCGGATGATGAAAAATGTTTCCCGAGTGATGCCGCTCATTATTCTGCCCATCACAATCTCCTTCCCGACGGTGAGAGGACTTTTCCTTTCCTGTGCACTCCGTACAGGACACCAGGGATAAGAGCGTGGTGACGCTGAGACATTCGTCCCTCGCGTCCTGTGGCAGGTTCCAGTTTGCTCTGAGCAGATGAGCGACTCGTGCTCATTTCCGATCTAGTCGATTTAGAAGTGTGCGTGTTTCCCATGCACACCAAAAAAAGGAACGTGGGTTGATTGTGTTTGCGAGTGTATCTATACACTGAAAAAAGCCCTTTGACTCTGCATTTCACAGAATAAACTTCTGATTCTCGTTAGGTGGCACTCGATGTCTTCTAGCATAAACAGGAGAACTTTCTCAGACTGATAAAATTCCTGTTCTCTGTGTGTTCCCATATCCTATGGAATTTCCCACGCAGGAGAAGTGCAGGAAAGGGCTCGGCTGATGTCTTCTTCTCCCTCCCTCCCACACAGGCCATCATCATCTACTGGCTGACGTCCAACCTCTTCTCGCTGGTGCAGGCCTCAGTGCTCCGCCTGCCTGCGATCCGCACCCGCCTCCGCGTTCCCGTGTAGATCCAACGAGCCCCTGGTCTCCTGCTCGCGGAGGACGGCTTCATGAAGTGCCTCAGAAAGGGTGAGATGCGAGGAGACAGGCGTGCAGTGCCGGAAGGCAGCCCCGGGGGGGCAGGGGGAGACGCACGAAGCGAGCCGCTTCCTATCCCCTTTCCAGGATCGGAGGAGGCGCAGGCGTGGGGCATGGAGGGCTGCCTGGACTCAGCAGTGGGGTGGGGGGTCTTTGATGTGGAGCAGCAGCCGTCACCACACAAGGAGGGCCGTGGGGCAGGGATGCGTGTGGCTTCGCGCTGGAGGTGTTGAAAGGTCTTCCTGTAAGGTCAGGTGAGGTTGCAAGATGCCACAGAGCCGGCAGTCAGAAGAGCAGGCCGACCTCCCCCACCCATAAGCCCCAGCTCCCTACTGGGAGGCACCATGTGGGGGAAGGTGGCTCTCCAGGGTTGTGGTGCAAATTTATGGGACAGGACACAGACGGAAGAGAGCAGAGAGGCTTAGGACTGAGGTTCAGCCAGAAGGTTTGCTCTGCAGGAGGCCGAGGACAGACGGGAGGGAGCGATCCTTGCCCTGATGCGGAACCCGCAGGGGAGGGGTGGCAGGCCAGCTGGCGTGGCTTGAAGAGGGGAGAAGGCAAATTGATGGGGGGGGGGCATCTCTGTCGGCGGCAGTCGCCTGCGACATCTGGAATATCCCAGCTACCTGGGACGAGCAGTGGCGTCTGGGCCGCTGACTGCTGGAACACAAGGAGAGAAAGCGGTCGCTTCCCCAGCTGTTGTGGTTTCAGAAGACATCTGCTTGGCCTGGGTGGGACCGTGAGTCGATCCAGCTGGCCATTCTTTACACGTGGTTTTCATTCCAGCCGTTAGACAGAGCGGGTCTGGGAGGTACAGCTCTTTTTGCTGTCTTTGACAAAAAAACCCCTGAGTTTTATTTTTTGGGGGGGGGGCGGGGTCTTTTCCTTTTCCTCAGGCCCACTGCGACAGACCTTTGCCCGGAATCCTTTGCAGCAACATGAGCCCCCCACTCCAAAGCCACCGCCACGAAAGAGGCCGTGGGAGGACACGTTGGGCTGAGCGGCGACCCCAAGACCCGGCACGGAGGCAGTGGAGTGTCCCCCACCGCGGCTCTGGTTTTCTGACTTTTGACAATAAAGGACCTGGAAGTCCTTTCTCCTCCTCTGGCTCAGTCGGAGCGGGTCCACATGGATGGAAGGATGGATGTGTGAGGCAGCCTCTTCCCAGGTTTTTTCTGCCTCTCTGTCAGAAGAACTACTTCCTTCCTTCCAAAAATTATCCTTCAGAAATCTCCATGTTCATGTGTCATTTCTCTGTGAATACCGAATCGCTTTCAATCATCAGCGAGAGTGTGGATGTGCCAGCTTCCTCAACCTGATGCCCTCCAGAGTTGTTGGACTACAATGTCCATCAGCCTCATGCTGGCTGGGGGAAGCTGGGAGTGTTGGTCGAATGGATTTAGAATATGTTGGGATGTGGAAGGCTGGTAGAGATGTGGGCTCACGCACACATTGTATGCCCATGCAAGCTAGGTATGAATGTTTCGGCAGACCATAATTTCCAAAAGAATTACTTCTCATGGAAGAGAAAGTGGAAGCTGGATGGGAAAGGACGTGAGGGGTGTTGTGGGGAAAATGGAGGAGGAGGTCAAACTTAACCAAGGAAAATTGCTACGGGACGCCATGGCCCAGCTGAAGGCGGCAAGCAGGACCGAGAGGCTACATCCGTTGGCGGCGGGTGGCTGATTAAAAAGAAAATAAGATTCCCAGGCAAAGTGGTGGAATGCGCTGAGGGTTTATTGGGACTTGGCAGGTGCCAGAGGTCCCCTCTTCCTGCGTTGAGGCAGGAGGGAAAGATGGAGGAGTCCCTGAGTCACTGCAGCAGCTGCTGCCAACCCCAACGCCCACCAAAGTAGCAAACAATAAATTAGAGGTCACACAAGTGTGCACTACAAAAGGAGAGGGCAGAGGGGAGAAGCCAGCCTCCCCCACCAACGGCATCTCCCATCACTGAGACTTGACTTCCTCCTTGGGATCCATCTCCGTCAGGACAGACAAGGACACGATTTGGATGAATCGGGTCACACCGGCTGTGGGGAGAAGAAGAAATCAATCCACGAGGTTGAGGAGGTGGGGGAAGATAGGAGGGGCATCTGCACGAGGGCGACTGGCATTCTACGAGAACAACTTAAAGGCTAGGAGCAGGAGGCGGTGCGGAGGATTCCTGCTAGTTCCTAAAAGTGAAATGCCACTCCATCCCCATCTGGTATTTTGATTCCAGTTCCACATTTGTAACAAACTGGGTACAGTTTTAATGTTTTGCATCAGCAGGCTGGTTTTTTTCAGCCGGTTTAGATTATGCAAAGTTGGGCACTGGTTGGTTATTTGGCAAAATTCAGGCTTCTGTGAGCCGAGGAGGAAGAGCCACACTGGGTACTGAAGGCTGACCTGGCTGGATGCCGAACAATCACGGTGACAGGCATGGCCTTCCAGGTCCCCACAATCTGCAAGCATCCCTTCTAGGCCAAAAAAGATGCTGCAAGGACCGGGGGGGGGGGGGGACCCTGCTAAATAGGCTGAGCTGTGGGGGAGGGGAAATCCACACCCCCAGATCAGGCACAGGATCTGTCCACAAGCAGAGCACTTCCTCTTGCAGAGGGTGGATCCTGGCTCCAGCTGCCTGGCTGTGATCAGCCAAAGCCCAGCTTAGCTTGATTTTCAGATCAATCGCTGCCCTGTATATGTTAGACTTTTCCGGCACAGTCGTAAGCGTGTTTAGCCAGAGCAAAGTCCTCCTGCGTACCCGGCAGGGAAATACCAGGAGCTGCAGGAGGTTTTTCTTCCGCCTGAAGATACAGCAGCCCTTGCAGCAGGCGGGGTTTTTAGGCAGAGAAGAAGCAAGGGATGCAGGAACGGGGGCACTCACCAACCGCCCGGCGCAAGCACTGCGGCCTCCTCTGCTCGGGCGTCCGCACTATCAGGAAGTACACGGGGAGCCCGGAAGCTGCGATGGCAATGCCAATGGCAGAATTGGTGAAGTCGGTGTAGAGGGGCACGGCCACCAGGAAGATGGTGCAGAGGCAGAAGATAACTGGGAAGATGATGCTGAGCTGATGGGGAAAGAAGTGGGCGTGCGTCAGGTGACTGGCATCCTGTGCAGGACGCACACCTGGTCGCTGCCATCTACGTTTCTTCATGCCTACTTGCTCCCAAGGCCAGGTTTAAGATTTCGGCGCCGGTGTACAAAACCCTAAAATACTTGGGGCCAGGATCCTCGAAAGAGCATCTCTTTCTTTACCAAGCTGACTGGGCACTCCGGTCATTAGAAGACCTCCTGGTGGCTCCATCATGGAGTGGTGGCACCTGCGAAGCACGCCAGGGAAGGAGCCCTGATCAACAGTCCCTCTTCTGTGGAACTCCCTCTACCCAGAGGTCAGGCTGGCTCCGATTTCCCGCTGCACTTGGCACCTGCCGAAAAAACCCTCGAAAAGTCGGCAAACGAGAGCCAGGAGGCACTGCAGTGCAGACCACGTCTTTTGGAGCAGGTCTGGCCTTTGCAAAGGATGCTGGAAGCACAACAAAGAAAAGGGCACGAAGAACAGGGACAGGCAGAAAGTGGCCCACTCTCTGGGGGGGCCGCCCACTCCCAGCTGACTCCAGGGATTGTTGCAAAACACTCAACAACAAAGTTTGAGGTCGGATTGGGAAACATCCTTTCTAGATTCAGAAATGGATGCAGGGAACTGTTTTTCTATCACAAGCTTGTGTTCCAGTGGGGACCAAATCCCACAGCTCACTCTTCCCAAAGGCCTTAACCAATCGCTCGCAGAAAGCTTCTGAAATCGGGCTGAAGCCCGCGAGTCGCTCAGCCTATCCTAAAGCAAGAGTGCAACATTACAATCACAAAACAACTCTGAAAGAGACTTTGCTTTGTAAATTCAACATCCATTGCAGTCAGCAGCCTTCTCCAAGACGGAGTCTCCTGGCTGTAATTCCCAGCCAATATAGCCACAGACTGGAGTGCATCAGGCTAGTCCATGGAATTTTTATTTTGTTGCTTGGAGTGGGCCATCTCGGTAGGCCATCCAAGGCCGCCCTTCTGCCCTTACCTTCAGGGGGCGTTCCCTCGACGGCTCCTTCCAGCGAAGGTAGAGCTGCCCTGCGATGGACAGGCCCACGAAGAACCAATAGCTGAAGCTGTAGTAATTGATCAGCTGGAAAATGTCATCCACACAGAGGTAGACCAAGGCCATGGCTCCCTGTGGGTCGAGACAGAAAGAACAGAGTCGGTGGAAGGCGCTCATCTGCCTGTGTGGGAGCTCACCGGTTCCCCAGACATGGCCACGTGCATCTGCCGGCCACCTGCTCGGCACGACCCGTCTCCACAAAGCCCGTGAGAGAACACGCTGCAAGGCCGTGAACTCCAGGCCTTCCAAAGGAGGCTCCCCGCATCTCCCAGTGGGACCAAAGCCCTTCCCGAGAGTTCTGGTTCATGCCCTTTTGGACTTCGTGTCATCCCGATCCTTCCCAGAGCTCAAAGCAGCCTTGGTTTCCAGGAAAGCCTCCCACCCACGGCCTCCGTCTGCTGCTCTTGCTGATGAAGCAGCGCCTCAGAAGGGGCCAAGACACTGAATTCTCCCCATGCCCCACTGTTCAACCAGCTGCAAAGGGTGGGTGGGGGGGCAGCTGCGGGGATGAGCGCTCCCGCTTGCTTCCCTCCCTTTCCCATCACACTCCAGCTGCCTGGCGGGCTGGCCGGAAGCCAATTTCACGGAAGAGAAAGGCAGGAAGGAGTTTCAACAAGGTGCACATTCCTCCGTCTTGTCGTTTGCCCTCCTCCCTGCTTGCCGAACAGCCCTTTTGGGCAGACTAGGAGGAAAATGGGCACCCTGGCTGGGGCAGAGATGGGCTTCCAGTTAGGAAGGAAAGGCAGGAATGCCTGCCTTGCTTTCCACAGCATTCCAAGGACTCTCCACACCGTGTGCCGGGAAGAACCATTTAACCACCCACCGGCTGAGGGGAGGCTGAAGGGGCATGGGCGCCTCTGAAGGGAGCATGGGGGGAAAGGCACACTGCTGAATCCGTGGCCACATGCTGCCCTGAGGAGTGAAAAGGTCGCCCACCTTAATGCTAGATCATTTTCTGGGACTGCTTTAAGCCACGTCTCGTAGGATTTGATTGCCTTCATATGAGCACTTGTCAGATCCACAATTTTTCATGATTTCCGCCTCCTTACGGCAGAATTCAGAGGTGGAAAATTATGTTACTCCAAAGTAAGCCCCGCCACCCCCAGGAAAATGGGTTGTCTCCTAGTCAAGCCGAGCTGATTGATCTTCAGCGTTGTTACTAAGCCAATTATATCTGTAGACATTTTCCTTCGCATTAAGCAGTTCTGGAAGGAGCGTGAGGTATATTTCACTGTCAAACCCTACAAGTCATTCCACAATAATCGCTATTTTAGAAGAAAGGTTTGATAAGAGAGTGAAGGGCCCATCAAAGGTTATAGCAGCCAATCACATTTCTGTAAGCATGCATTTGAAAAATAATTCAACGTGTTTATTTCGAGAAAAAAGTTTGCTACCTAATTGTTAATCAAAAGATCTGTCAGCTAAAGTCCTAAACGAATTGGGGAGTAAGTCCTTGTGGATCCAGTGGGACATACTTCTGAATTAATGCACGGAGCCTTGTTCTGTTAAATCTAAGAGATGGGGATGCAAAGTTTAGCCAACTCAAGCACAATCTTATGCATGCTGACCGAAAAAAGCCCTAAATTCCCAGCATTCCCCAGCCAGCTAGCTGCACCAGAGCCTCATGGGACTTACATTAAAGAGCAGGGCTGGCACCGGGGTGAACCGCTGAACATGGATCATACAGATGGCATCAGGCAGGTGCCCTTCACGGGAACCAACAAAGAACAACCTGTTGAAAAAGTCAGCAAGCTCATGATTTGAGAGGGAGGAGAATCGGGCCAGCTTGTGGCCAAGCCCGGGTTCAGCAGGAGGGGGCGACACCTTATGCAGCACAGGGCAGTCTGACCTAAGCAAATGTGCTTGACTCCAACACCCATCATCCCCAGCCAGAGCTGTCCATGGCCAGGAATGATGGAGGTCCTATTCCAACGATGCTGGGGGGCACAGGGCTGGAGAAGCGTGGCCTGAGGCAGGAAGAGGCTGCCCTGTCAGACCAAGAGTGTTCCCAGAATCCACGGCAGCATCATTCCAATGGCCACTGGGGACAAGGGCTCGGTTCACTCACGGAGCCAGCCCTTGCTGAGGCGTGGGCGCAGGGGCCAGCTCTGCCTAGCACTTCCATACAAAGTTGGACCTGGGGATGAACAAGCACCTTCGGCACCGTGAGTTTCCAAGAACGCTTTCGGGCATTTACTCCCAGGGTGCGAGACGTGGGCGGTGCAGCGAGCGCCCATCGCCTGCCGCCTCCCTCGGGTTCCCTTTCCAGCCAACTGGGTGACTTTGGGCCAGTCACAGACTCTCAGCCCAACCTACCTCACAGGGTGGTTGTTGTGGGGATAAGATGGAGGAGGAGATTGATGTAAGCTGCCTTGAGCCCTTTGTAGGAAAAAGGCAGGATATAAATCCAAAAATAAATAAATAAACTCAGCTGCAGTCCTGACAGTGGGTGGCTAAATGGATTTTCAGCATGTTGTCGCGAGCAGTCCTCGTTGTGACGCAAAGTGTTTGGGGTGACTTGGCCTCCAGCGGGCGAGGAAGGCCCCTCCGCTTTACAAAGGCGCATGCGGTGGCCATGTGGGGTTGCCTGCGTTCCCGGATACCCCCTGGGAGCCTCGCTATTTGGCCTCGTCCTGATTGGCTGCCACCCAGCGAACTTTCCCGCTACACTGCGGGCTGCCAGTCCTCATGCACCGTCGTTGCTGCTTCGGCTTCACGGGGAAGCGCTTGTGCGAAAAGGAAATGCGGAACTTTCTGCAGGCCACAGGTGTCGCTCACTTTCGAGTCAGAGCTAAGTTTTGCAGGAGGTCGCAGGTGGCTTACCTGGATGCTGCTAAGATGGAAGCATTCAGGCCTCCCAGGCAGGATAACGCCACAGCGAGCGGGATGGTCCATTGCATGACTCCGAAAACTTGATTGCCAAAGGTCTGTAGGGAAGAGTAAATAAAAATGAGATGAGCTGGTGGTGAACATGTTTGGCTAGCAGAAATATGGTCCCCAGCTCCACAGGGACTGCCTCTCTACAAGGGATGGGGAAACTGGGCCTCTCCATTGCTGTTGGACTCTGCCTCCCATCAGCCTCAGCCAGCATACCCAATGGTTATGGCCGATGAGGATCATGACCCAAGAGCACCTGAAAAGCCTGCTAGGGTGAACGAACCAGCACAGATACTCATGATCACGCAAGACAATGAAGGATTGCCAGCATGGAGACTCTCACGGGCTGCATTCAGACTACACGAGAACCCATCTTCAGAGCCTGAGTGTGGGTTGTCACTGAACCTGGGGTTGCTCTCGGGACGTGGGTTATCGTGTTGTCCGAGCCCAGCCACAGAAGCAAACCATGGTTTATCAACCATAAACGACCCATGAAGAGAAAGCCAGTGATTGTTGTTGGGCTGTGAGCGGCAGCACGTTTGCGGTCGACAAGCCACGGTGGATCGGTGCGGCTGGGTTCAGATCAACCGGGTCCTGAAGGAACCGGCCCTGGAAGGCAGCAGGATACTGACCACGGCAACGGCATCGCTTGTCAGTATCTCCGTCTTGCTCAGCACGGTGTAGTAGGCCATGTTGGTCATGATGTAAATCACGGTGACGATCGGCATGGAGATACCAATGGCAAGGGGCAGGTTCCTGCGGAATGACACAGAAAGCATTGTCCTCCCGTTTAGATCCCCTTTGGCCCAACACGCCTGCCCCTGGATCATACTCCACAGCAAAACCCAGGGCTTGGAAGCACTGCCCTGTGAGGAGAGACGGAGGGAACTGGGCATGTTCTTTTCGGCGCCAGGCCAAGACCTTTTTATTTAAATGTCATTTTAATTGTTAACATTATTTATTGATTTTATATCTTTGGCCAGGACATCTCCAATTATATTGTTTTATATGGTTAATGTGTATTTATTTATTGTTGTGAGCCGCCCCGAGGCTTCGGCGAATGGGGCGGCATAGAAGCTTGCTAAATAAAGTAAAATATGTTCAGCCCTGAGAAGAGAAGAGTGAGGGGGGACTTGATATCCTTCTGTAAGTACCTCAAAGGCTGTCACAAAGAGGAAGGTCAAGATCTCTTCTCGCTAATGCCAGAGTGTAGGACATGGAATAATCAGTTCAAGTTGTGACAACCCAGATTCAGGCTGGACATCAGGAAAAGCTTCCTCACTGTCAGAGCAAGAGGACAGTGGAACCAGCTGCCCGGAGAGGTGGGGGGGCTCTCCCACACTAGAGTCATTCAAAATGAAACTGGACAGCCATCTGAGTGGGATGATGTAACTTGGTGTCCTGCAACAGCAGGGGGTTGGATTTGAGAGCCTTCATGCCCCCTTCTAATTCTACTATTCGAGGATTCTATGAAAATACACAAAGCCCCTAGAAAAACTGCTCCTGGAGCCAAGCCCCCCAAATCCTCTGCTCCACAGGACAAGCGCCCCAAATTTCCTCTTGTCTAGGTACTCTGCACTGCCAGTTTTCTTTTTATTTCCCTGCTTTATAAAAGAATGTTGGAAAAAATGAAGACAGAATGGAGAAGTGTTAATTGAAAATGCACTGATTAAGCAGCAAATGTAACCCTTGACTCTATTTCATAACCAAACATACTCTCCTTGTAAAATATATAATTTGGGACTAGTTTTACTTCAACAAACACTGCAAATTTGCCTCCTGCTTTCTCTTTTACTAACTTTTTAACATCAATGCCATCAAATCAACATATGTACCCAAGTTCCCTTTACTGCCTTTTCAACCGAAACAAGTTCTTTTGATTTCCAATTAAGTCTTGTTCTGCAAAAGCCAACGCATTTCATGCTACGTTTCTCAGAGCGACCCTTTCAGGGCCAAATCTACGACAGAACGCAGGCGCCCTAGACCCCCATCCCACCCCACCCGCATCAGGCTGTGCTGTCGTGCTTGATTTTGGTCACTAGATGGCAGCCCCTTTCAACTCGGGCTCATCCAAGACAAAGCCCAGATATTTGAATGAAATTGCAAGAAAGGAAGGTAGATCGCCACTGAGAGGTTGGAGAGATTGTGGGAAAGGATGATATGTCTCTGGCAAATCTGGCTACTTCCGTGGAAGTGGTGGGGGCGGAATCACAGGAATTCTAACTCCATGAGGCATTCCAGCATGCACCCTTGCTGCCTCTGACCGACTGGCGTTTCTAGTGCACGAAAGGAGGACTGCTCCAGGTTTCTGAAAGCTTTGCCAAGACACCCTGGGGGTTCTCTTCCTCTGTGCATCTACCTCCACTTTTTCATCATTGGCAATGCCTGCTTGCTTGCTGCAGAGAGGCAAGAAGCGAATCTGCAGTGATCTGCCCTGCTCGCCCTTCTCACCACTGTTGCCTGGGGAAAGAGAGTGCCTGTCAGCAGGGTTCCCACTGGGATACGGAGCCCTGGCGGGCATTCTGCCATGCCAACCTGCAGCGGCAGCCCTGCTCTGCTAGCGAAGAGGCACAGCTGGTCCCCAGGTGTGGTCGATTTTGCAAGGGCACAGAGTTTATTTAAAGGCGGGCGACGAATTGTGAGTGTGGTGGGGAGCTGCAATCGAGGTGAGCCAGCTTCAGTTCCCTCGCTCAGTTCCTCTCTTTGGAAGGAGATTTTTAATGTCATTCGGTGACACGGGGAGGGGGGGTGACCCCGTGTCCTCCGGGGCCTCCAGACACTGTCCAGTGCATGCCAAGGACGACACTCTGCAAACATTCTGAACTGCAGCCCTCTCCGCGGCTGAGGACATAAAGCACGTTTTGCCTGCAAGATCCCGGTGCCGTTGGAAGTCTGACCTTTCAGGATTCTTAATTTCTTCCGTAACAAAATTGAGGGTGTCCCATCCAGAGTAGGAGAAGAGGGCAGAGTAGAGGGCCAGCGCGATGTTCCTGACCTGCCAAGAGGAGCCTTCAAAAGAGTCAGCAAAGTTCTCCGAATGTCCTGCAGGACACAATAAATGTGTGTGTAGGCATGGATTACAGATTTGGAGCTGGGTGCATGGAATTTTTTAATTTACTGTAGCTCGTCATTACCACAGAGAGAGGGGAAGTGAAAGGAAAGAGAGGGAGGCCTCCGAAGCATCACCATCGAGAAAGAAGAAGTGAAAGGGGGGAGAGGGAGGCCTCCAAAACGTGCCTTCCTGCCCCCACCCATCTGGAGATGCAAATCTCTCTGGCATTTCCTTGCTGCAAAGAGGCGGCACTGGTAAGTTTAGGTGGTGACGGAGCTAGAGAGAGTTGCATTTTTCCACTTGTATGAGGGTTCTGCACTCCGATTCCCAGCTAAGGTGGAGGGCCAACTATACATGACCCAACTTATACAAATCTGACTTAAAGACAAATTTCCATTTTCTTAGAAATGGAACTCATTCGTATCTGGGGACCTGCCTGTATTAAGATCAGATCCGTTACCTATTATTCCCACTGCTGCCCACCAGGTTTTCTTTCTCTCGCATTCTGCATGCTCCATTCGGTGGAAATGCATAAATATAGGAGCATTTCACCCCACAATCGCCAAATAATGACACCTGTTCCTTGATCTTTTACAAAAAAGGCCACAGAAATGACTGCACGGAATGTGAGAGGCCCTGGAAGATGACAAAGCTGTATAAAGCACCCTTAAACAACTTGGGATTGAACTGCAAGCACACAATGCATGTAATACCCGTGCAGACACGCAAACCTGACTTGAAGTGAAGGACAGTCATGTGTGAACTAGCCCCCAAAGGAGGCAGAAGTGAATCAGAGCCTGAGTTTGGAACCAGTTGGTACCGGGTTCAAGGGATGCCTAAGGCTGGTCCCTCAGCCTCCATTATTTCTCTGCAAACTGGGCACAGAGGATCCATAGGACTGTCAAGGCTGAGAAGAACAGCATATAATGAAAGGGCAGAACGCTGATATGGAGGAGAGGCAAAGCCAGAAAAAGCAGCGGCACAGTTTTCGTACCTTGGGCAAGGCGAACAATGCCAGCAATGATCACAGCAATGAGGGCTAGCACCTTGGCGTAGGTGGACAGGTCCTGCACCCGTGTGCCCCATCTCACATAGGCACAGTTCACGAAAGTGAGTATACCTGAAACAGAGAACAAACCAAGATTCCTGAAGCAAAGGACCCAGGGATCCTATAAGCCTCTCCACCTTCTGAACTTTTGCGCACACAGACCCCAACATCCAAGTCAGAGAAGAGACATGAACCCTTTCCCACCCAGTGCTGAATGCTAGATAAGCACAGACACATGTACACCCCGCCCCAAGATTCATTCCAAATTAGGGGTGGGCACCCCTGGAATCTTTCCGTTGCATCCATTTATTTCCTCGCAGGCTCCATAGGAAATTGACGGGGGAGCCAGGGTGCGTGCCCCTGGGCATGCCTGGACAGGAAAAAGTCCCACTAGGGGAATGCTGGGAGCTGGGGGCCTTCTCTCCTGTCCAGGCATGCCTAGGGGCACACCCTGCAAGGATGGGTTTGTTCGTTTAAAGCTTTTACATACTGGCCTATTCTCAGGACAGTGTTTACAAGAAGGCCGAAAAGTACCCCTCGCAGAGCGTAGTGACCCAGGCAACTAGGTCTGCTTTCCCCAGCCTGATGCCCCCTGAGCAGGCCAGACTACAACCCCCTCCCGGGGCTGATGGGAATGTTAGTCCAACCCATCTGGCAGGCACCAGGTTGGGACAAGCTGGTCTGAGCCGAAGCAGCTGTGCCGGCGGCTCCACCAGTCAGCCAGCCAGCCAGGTGCCCGGCATGCGCACGTGTGTGTCAGGGGACAAAGCCCTCACATGCAGCCGTGGGAGGAAAAGGTGCACGCTGCAGTCGTCATTACAGCTGGGGGGGCTGAATCAGGACCCAGCCTCCTCGAAAGCCCAGTTTTGAGGGGAAGGGGAAATGAGTCGTCTTCCCCTGCAGTTGTCTGGCTTCCTTGGGTCCTGCAGGTCTGCCCAGCCCCATCCTATCTGCCCAAGTTCTGGTTTTTATCTGTGACTTCCTCCCCGGGTGTGCATCTTAGTCATGCTCCTGGGTGGTGAGATAAGACCGTGCTTTCAGAAAGAGAAAGAGCACGCAAACACTGGGAATTTACCCTAAGCTCACTAGTGCTAGATGTGTGGGGAATGAGAAGTGTGGCACAGTGAGGGGAGAAATATACTTTTCTCCAAGAAGGATGGGCACTCTGTCTAAGCTGAGAGACTTCCAATAATTTCCTCCCGCACATACTGGATTTGAGAGCTAAGCCATGTCTGCTCAGACTTGAAGAGGGAAGTGCGATCCAGTGGATTACGGGAGAGCCCTGCTCTGCCCATTCACGGTATCTGTGGCAGGCGACGAAGGTTCACTTGTAGGTGATGCTTCCATGTTACGATGGCCACGCACTGCTCCAACCACTTGCTCACACTGTTGCTACCACGAGGAAACCACAGTACACCAGAAGCAAGAAGTACATCACTAGGCAGGGGTCCTGTGCACCAACGCCCACCAGTACGCGGCAACAGACATAAATAATGGGCGGATGCATTCAAGAAACCAGAGGATAAGGTCCTTGTGGAAGGAATCACAATGCAAGCATCGTGATTAACGCGGGAACAAAGACCTGGAGTTAAAACAAGATGGAGGAAGATGGGACTTCCTGGGTTCGGGTGCAGAAGTTCATTGTTTATCCCATTCTGGCTCTGCTGTTTTTATCTTCCATCCTTCTAACCTTGATCTTTATTCCAGGAACAAACTGCTGTGACTCAAGAAACTATGTGAGATTTGGCTTTTTGCCATGTACCCAAATCGGGCTGGGAAGGGAGTGCTGGACCAAGGAGCAAGGCACTGGCCAACCTCCACTCCCGGCCTCAGAACTCCTCTCCCCGGCTGAGACGGCTTTCCTGCTGGGAGGAAAGTGCGGCGGGGGAACTGGGGACACCTGCAAAACAACATTCAGCTTCTTTATAAACAAGGTAATAAATTTCTGCATCTTATCACATTTGGAACATGCTCAGTAGAGAGAACCATGGACAACATGAGCTGATCTTGTTTTTGCATGGCTCTGGCAGCGCCTCAGAACGAAACTCGCTGAGCATTCTTGGTGTGGGTATTTCTCAGGTCTCCCTCAGTGCTCCTCCTCTTTTCCCAGCCAAGTTTCCAGCCCCTGCCAAGAAGTCACACTTAGACCTGGCTCATCTGTTAGGGCCGCAAACTGGGGTGGAGGGGTTCTTTAACCCATAATCCAAGGGCATGTGCACCCCCTGCAAGCCACTTCCAAATCTGTAAACAACCTCCAATAGGCAGTTGTAAGAGTGATGTGAGAACTCCAAGCAATGGGTTATTTAGGGGTTAAACAAGCCAGTGGTTAACCCAGGGTTCATTGTCAGGCTGAATACTGGTTCATTTAGCCCCTTAATAGTCCAGTGGTGCATATCATGGAAATCCTTCAATCATTCTGACTGAAGACGGAAGAAAATGGAGACAGCACACATGCGATGCTCATCCCCACAAATTACCCACAACTTTTTGCCTCGGCATGCAAACAGGCTTAGGCGGGACCCCTCCAGAAACAAAAGTCAAACGTGCTGCTCAACTGCCCGGTTTCCAAACCTCTACAAGATGGAGACGGAGCGACCCTTCCCCTGCTGCCAGCCTAGGCACAGTTTAGCTGGACACGTCCCTCGCCCAGCCAGAGGTCCACGGAAGGCGTTCTGGCTGTCCCTCTGCCCATCCTATTCTCAGAGGTTGTGCTCTTACAGAGCAGCACTGAAGAGCACGCACTGCGAGTCGTCTCAGATCCCAGCTCAGCCCTAAACCTCGTGGCAGCCTCAACTTCCACATCTGTGCACAATAACGCCGGCCGACCATCCAGAGCTACTGGAACCAAGGTAAGGTCTGCAAAGTCCTTCGGGAACCGGGGGAAGGATATTTGCAATTGTCCTCAAACGGTGCTGTAACCTTCTTCCCCGGCTCTGCCCAAAGCCTCGCGTGAAGACTGCACTTCTCCCATCCAGCAGAGCATCAGCGTATTTTCCCACCACAACCGCAAGCTGCTTTCATGCCTGACCCCAAAGCCCCACGGGCTTCTCAGCTGGTACATTCCTGTGTGTTGCAACAGAAGCGGTTTTGAGGAGCCTGACGCTGCGTTTCTCGCTGGCGGGATCCGAACAGCAGCTGCCGATTCAGCACACTGTCCAGCCCTCAGCTGAAATCACTCATTTCCTGAGAGAGATGCAGAATTACCCACAGGTTAGACAGAACAAAAACAGAGATGGGGGGTGGGGTGGGGTGGGGTGGGGAAAGGGGAAGAAATGCCATGGGCAGCAGCTCATGCAAGCTCCACAGATCACCAGATCCTGAGTCAGAAGATGTGGCATGAAAGGCACGGTCCCTCTGAAAGCACGGTGAACTTCTTCCTTTGCCACTGAGTAACGATTCTCTACCTGGGTCATGCCGAGGAAGCAAGCGGCAACATCCAGACAGGTTTCAAGCATGCAGCCCCAGGCAGGTAAAGGCCTGCCCACATGCGTGTTTGCTTTCGGCCTCTTCTCCCAGACCAGAGGGAGACAAGGAGCAGGACTCCTGGGCTCGCTCTAGAACTCCAGCACAGGGGAACAAGGCCTGGTGCCCTGCAGGGAAGCAGGCGATACAACCGTATTTTCTTTTAGCAGGATCGTTTTGCCTGCTCAGGCAGAAATTCAACTGGTGACACATCTTTCCATTTTGGAGTTGCAAGGAATCCACCTATTTTGTTTCTTAGAATCGGGCCTTTGATAAACACAGAGAAGCTGTTTTGGGGGCATGGGGGTGGGAAAGTGTTAATCGCAGATGCCTGAGTTGTATGCTTAGCTTTGTGGGAGCTAGAAATGGATCTTATCTGAGAAAACCAACCTTATTTGTTCTGGGGCACATTTCTGGCTCCCACCTCCACCCTGTGAATCCGGGACAAGAGCAGAATTCCACTCTTAGAGCCAAACTGGTTGTCAAGTCGCCTACAGAGCCTGTGCCCAATTCTGCAAGATCAAGATGAAGCCCTGGGGTCTTTCTGGTAAGACGTAAATGGCTGAAGCTTGCCAGTTCTCTCCCCACACCTCACAGAGATGCAACCCCATTGCCAAGGAAGGGATGAATTGCGCAGAACGGGAAGGAAGGTCACGTGATGATAAAGGGACAATGACAGATTAGATAGTATGGAAACAGAGCTCGCCCTTCAATCTACCTGAAACCAGATGAGCCTTGGCATTGCTAAGTACACACAGGCACGCGTGTGTGCGTGCACACACACACACACACACGCTGGAGGTGCAATGCCTGACCTCCGCCCCTGCTGAACCAATCCTCCTCGACCCCGCCCCGAGCTTCCCCCGCCTGCCCCACTTACAGATGCAGGCTGCGGCCAGGAGCCGACCGGCCAGGTAAGGAGCCTCGCAGGACTGGAAGAAGGGCTGCACCAGGTAGTTGGCAAAGGTGATGGCGATGATCGCCTGGCTGGTGGGTTCGATGATGAGGAGGGAGGTCCAGAGGCGGATGAAGGCTGGCAGCTGTCCAAAGGCCTCCAGAATGTAGGCGTAGCTGGCCCCGGATTTTTTGATGGTGGTGCCCAGTTCAGCGTAGCACAGGGCCCCGAAAACGGAGAAGAGGCCACCCACAGCCCAGACGACGAGCGAAAGACCGTAAGAGTCGCTGCAGGCCAACACGCCCTTGGGCGAGACGAAGATGCCTGAACCAATCATGTTCCCCACAATCAAGCAGATGCCATTGATGAGCGAGATCTCCTTCTTTAGCTGCATGGTCTCCTCAGGAGGCTGGCTGGAGGAGGGGGAGGTCCCGTTGGCAACCGCCTTAGCAGGGTGGTCATCTTGGGGTGCTGCTCCGTAGATGGTGGTTTTGGCCATCCCTTGGCACAAGAAAAACAGGTGGGTGATGTGACTTTGGCCTCCAGGGGGTGCCACCCGCACTCCCTAAGGGCTTTTTCCTCTGGGGATGCTGGTCGCAATGGGGTATTGCCACGCTCTGGGAAGAAATGGGTGAGGAGGCAGCTGGCTTGCTCAGATGGGCAGAAATTGGAATTAGAGCTTTCCCTGCCTTCCCATGGCAAAGCTGACTATCCTAGAAGTGCTCAAACTTTAGGCGGACATCTTGGGGTACTGATGTTTCTCTGCTCTCCCAATTTTGGGATCCATGATTGGGCTCTTCCCTCTGGTTAACCTAAGGGACTGAAAAAGGATAGTAACATCCGACCTTCCTCTCTGGAAAAAAGTCTAGTGCACAGAGCAAACGGGTTGTGGGTCTAGGTTTGGACATTCTCCCTAAACATGAAAACTCCTGATGTTAACATTGGTGTGATTCAAGAGCTTGGGAGCAAACCAGGTGTTCTGGGCTTCTTATTCTGCCCAGAGACAAGGAAGTGGGTCTAGTGGGTGGAGCACAGGAGTGGAGAGCTGGATTTCAGCTTTGGAAAAGTCACACAGCCTGGGACTGAAGCATGTGACAGCTGGGTACCCTGACTCCCTCAGCCCCCATAGCTGAAGTACTAGCAAGAGACAGAAAGAGGCAGGAATGAGGATAACATGAGGGATAAAGAGACAGGCACTCACCGTTCCAGGCTCAGTTCCCTTCCTGGTCCGCCAGCTTGGAAATAAAGAGAAAGAAGTTGCTGGGACAGCACTTTTAACTTGAGGAACTTACCAGGTTTCTTGGAGGCGGGGTATGGGGGTGGTATGGGAGAGTGAGCCATTGAGTCCAAGGTCCGTCCGGTGCCAGGTGGGGGCAGGGGGATCTACCTCAGCACTATAGAAGATAAGGGACTGGCAATGCCGGCAGATCTCCCTCCGTGAACAGTCGGGACTTCCTGCAGAAGTGCTACACATGCACACTGCACTGTTTCCTGTATCAGCCATTCTGAATCTAGCATCGCATGCAAGCCTCCAAGTCGCACAGAACTCTTCTTCAGGGAGAAAGAAGCCTATGCCAGTCGGATGCTGACTGTTCCCACCAGCAGCTCTGATTCAAAATCAGAGGTGTGCACTTTAATTCTGGCAGCTCAGCCTCACCAGCTGTTTTGAGCAGGAAATCCCCCTACTAACATATTTGCATTTTGAAGAGGTGGCAAGTCCCAGAGTGGGAGAGCTTTTGCAAAACAATTGCCAAATGGAAGACAACTGGGAATCCAAAGTTATTCAGGCAATATCCTTTTACTGGGCTGTATAAGAAGGGAAGCATGGCAGTCTTCTAAGTCCCACCAAGTTCAAATAGAAGGTCTTCTGTGCAATTTAGACATTTGCTGTCCTGTCCTAACTACTGGTTCCAGCCCAAATTATTATTTGGATCTGGTACATGGGTACAACAGGGATGCAGTGCACAAGTTTGTTTGTTTTGTATTGCTTTTTTCGGCAAGATGACCAATCCCATCTTCCACATTAACAAATATTACTGTGGGTACAAATCACTCACAAGCACCAAAAAAGCTGGGGCTTTTTTCCATGTTAGGATGATGCTGCAAGAGGCCAGTGGTGAGGAACAGAGGTGGGGTGGGGGGTCGTCTCCCTTTTACTCAGGAGCACGGCAATGATTTAATGTATGGTTGCCACCTCTGGTAAGGCTCCTGTGCCTTTTACGACAGCCGCAGAAACCCTTATTTGTATTTATTTTTCACCTTGACTAAAACCCAAGCAGACCACTTTAGCTTGCCTTCGCCCCATGCCCTGCAGAGATCAGATACGCACAGCCCCGTCACGCGATTTCCCTGCCTTTGCACGAATCTCTTCCACACGTCTATACGATACACTCGGAATTCATAATGTACACGTCTCCCCATGGCAGCGATGTCATTCTACGCATTCAGAAGCCAGAGCTCGAGGGAGAGGAGGGAAGCCGGTCCAAACCACCCTGGACTCTCCAAGCGAACCCAGGCGTCCGGGGCTCCGCGAGGCGAGACTCAGACTGCACTTCCCCGCCCCTCGCCTCTCCCGTTTATCTCGCTACCATGGGCGACGGCTTCCTTAGCAACAGCATCCAAGATGGCGCCGGCAAGGCCCGGCAGAAGCTGTTTCCGCCCTTTAAAAAAATGGCAGCCGGGGTGCGCTCAGACGTATACACGAAATCTCCAACGCTCTTTAAACGTCGAGTATGAAATCTCAGCAGTTCGGCTCTTAGGATTAATTTCGAAACCCAGCCTTCAATCAGACTGTAATAACTCAGGCGATGAAGGGCGGCGCATAGTTCCTTCATCCAATATGGCAAAGGCATAAGGCTTCGTTTGCAAAATGGCGCACCGCTCAGTTTCCGGGAACTCCATCCGGGCATCTTATCTCCATTCCAAAATGGCTGCTCTCATAGAGTTCGGAGCGTGACTCTAAGAAATTATGCGGCTAAGAAATTCAAACAGTTCTACTTACGAAATGACTTGCAGAGGATGCTGGAAATGTGTAGCCGAATATAATTCCCTTATGTAGTCTTCAGATGTTTTCTGTACTTCTTCGCTGTGTTTATTCTAGTCTAGGAACGATCCGTACAAGATGGCGTCCCCCTACATCTTCCGTGAGCGAGCCGGATAAGAATATACTTCCGGCCGCGAATGGGAAGCTCCCGCGAGAATTGCTTTGTGTTTCCTCTTTCTTTGAAGATGGCGGCCCCCGTCAGCGCCCTTCCGTACGGCCTCTGGGAGCGCATGCGCGCGGGCCTCACTCGCTTTTCTCTTTCGAAATGGCAGCTCGGGCGATCCAAAGGCTTGGTATGGCGACTTCAGGAGCAGGAGACCATAAACTGGGTCGGGAGAGAAAGAGACGGCGCGGTGCTCAGCATGCCTGCCCAAAAGTAAGCCCCACTGAGTTCAATGGGAACCGCGCAGTCCGCTGCAGCGAGGGGTGGCGCCCATGTCAGGGGGCTGTGTAGCCACTCCAGATTTCAGTCTGAACTTTGAAGGAACTGTCCGTAAGGCTGCCCTGGAGTGGATGCGCCGCCCCCAGAAGTTGGAGCCGCACGTGCTTTGGAGAGGAAATCCCACTGAGCTCAGAGGGGCTTCCTTCTGGTCAGACGTGCATAGGATCGCCTGGCCATAGTGGGTCCTGGCTGCCCTCCGCGGGTTGCGGTGCTTTAGCTCTAAGCCGTCCCCAGTCTCACTGCTTGCATATTAGTTGAATTTGTTCAGCTCAAGAATCAGGCTTGTGTGGAAAGTGGATTTTTCTGCCATCAGCTGAATGTTGTCAATTTTTTTGAAAAGGAGCACTGCGTGATGGCCTTCAAGGGCGTGTCTTGGGATGGGGACTTGCATTCTTGGTTATAATGAAAATGTAATATTCCGCTGATTTTGGCATTTCGAGCTGCTTTCATTTGGGGCTGCCGCCAAAACTGTAATGGATGTACTTGATTTATGCGCGAGATTGCTATGACCTTTAATGAACTCAGTGTAGAATGCTTTCCTCTACTAAATGTTTAGTTCTGCATCCAGATTAAGCCCTCAGTTAAAATTATTTATTTTATTTTAGTATTTCTATACTGCCCCATTCCCAAAGGTTCTGGGCAGTTTATAAGAAATGAAAACCAACCGTGATTAAAGTTGACTAAGACAACATATTAAATAAAACTGACATGAGAACAAATTATGTCCCATCTCAAATGCATTCAGTAGCCTTAAGACATGCTAGCATAATGCATCCTTAACCACAGTGTTTGTCCACAACAATAATAATGATAATAATAATCTACCTTGCTGTGTTTTTCTAATAACAAAGATAATTTTTACAGAGGTGAGAGAGTATGCCAAACCATATTTTTCTGTATGGAAACACAGAAACAAAGTGAGTCAGAAGGGTCCTCCTGGGCCATCTAGTCTGACCCCCAGCTGCAGCCAGCTCCATTCAAGAAATCCCCAATATATCATAACTATGAAATTGTTTGACAGATCCCATATTCTTATGTTCTGTTTTTTTTAATCAAATTCTGTGGTTCCTTTTTCCATTTTACCCCAGGACCCCAGCTGGCAAAAGCTGCTTTGGCGTCTCGGACCTTCCATTGCAGCCACGTGGACCAAGGCGGTGGCAAATGGAGAGTAAAGTGTGTGAGGAATCTCTGGAGCAAGAGGGAGGGTCCCCGGATGGTGTGGGAGGGGGAGTGCCTCTGTCCCCAAACATTTAAGTCAGCCACACAGTATCAGAACTAGCTTGGGACCTTTGAGGAAGAATGACTTGCAAGAACTTTCTCTAAACTGGTGTCCTCCAGATGACTTTGATTACAACTTCCATAATCCCCAGCACATAGACAACATATTTGCGGGGGCATGAGGTTGGCGGCAGTCGGACTGTGATGTGATACTTAAAACTGAGGTAGTGTTATATAAGGATTAGAACTTAGAGATCTCTCACCAGATGTCCGTCAAGTGGTGGTGGGGGTTGTTGTATGTAATAATAAAAACATTTTGTACTGCCTATAGCCAAAGCTCTCTGGGGCAATTTACAACATTAAGTCACCCATCCAGATTTCAGCCAGGCCCAATCCTGCTTAGCTTCCAAAAGCAGGCAGGATCAGGCACTTCGGGCAATATGGTAGTTGGGTTTGCTAGTATAGACCTCCTCAGTGATCCAGTTCACACTACACAGGGTTATTTAATCCCTTGCAATGCATGCTGGAGAAGATTTTGATGATGCAACACTAAGGGCAGGGGTTCAGCCAGCTGGTCATATTTTCGGTACACAGCCCTGCTTTCCCTGCTGGAGCACTGTCACATCATGAGAACCTGGCCCATGAGGGTTAATTGAGCCCTCACATAACCCTACAACAAACTGAGAGTCATACCAACGTCATTTAATTGCTAAGGAACCCCTCAGGGGCCTGGTTCCCATGACTTGCCAAACCACAAGTGATGTGTGAGTGAAAGATAGAAACAGAGCGAGTCAGAAGGGGCCTCCTGGGCCATCTAGTCTGACCCCCAGCTCCAGCCGGCTCCGCTCACGATATGCCCACCATGTGGACGTCCAGCCTATCCTTGAACACCCGCACCAATGGGGCCTCAACGACCTCTCGTGTTTCATCTCTTTCCTTTGCTGTAGATCTACTTTATTACTGTAAGTTATGCCTACAATTTTGTCCTCTGCATGTCCTTCCAGGCAAGGTTTCCCTGTAAACCCTTCCATGTATGGACCTTTAACAGACCTGCCTGATTGGTCATTTGCAGGTTAGTAAAGTGAGGTTTTCATTATATTTACCATTACTGAAGGAATAGCACTGACTGCCTATTTGTAAATAAATAAAACTATTTATTTGTTCATAGAAACAGAGCGAGTCAGAAGGGGCCTCCCGGGCCATCTAGTCTGACCTCCGGCACCAGCCGGCTCCGCTCACAACATGCCCCCCATGTGCATGTCCTGCCTATCTTTGAACACCCTCGCCGATGGGGCCTCAACCACCTCCCGTGGAAGCCCATTCCACACCCTCAGGGTCCTGACTGTCAGGAAATGCTTCCTGGCATCCCAATTGAACCTGGGTTCCCTGAGCTTTGCCCCATGGGAGTGCATCCTGCCTTCCTCTGCAGGGGAGAACAGGTCTCTACCCATCTCCATGTGACATCCCCTCACATACCTGTATGTCACCAACATATCCCCTCTGAGTCTCCTCTTCTCCAGGCTGAAGAGACCTGGTTCATATTCATATCATTTCTTTACAGCCCAATAGCCAAAGCTCTCTGGGTGGTTCACAGCAAACAAATACAAAAGACAGGCGTACAAAAATATAAAACAATTTAACATCTAAAACATTTTCATTAAAAACTAGACCTAATTAAACACCCGACATAACCCATCCTATTCCATTCCATTTTTGGGAATAGAGGGCAGTTTTAACCGGATACCCTGCTTTGGATGGAGAAGGAAGGAAGCTGCAGGTAACGCAGGGTACCTGATATCCTGATTTCTAACGACCTCTCCCCTTCCTGCCCCCTGAAACTTCCTTTATATGCCCTTTCCAGGATCAGACTCCTGATTTTGGAGAGACAATCAACGTGGTTCCTGCCACTCTGGCTGCAAAAGTATGGAACAGGAGTTAGTGCAGATTTCGGAGGACGATTTCTGAACTTGGATCTAGGAATCCAAAGCGTTCCTTGGCCCCGTAGGGTTTTAGGATTGCTTCCTTGAAATACCTTACTGAGGAAAAGCATAAAGCGAGGCCTAAAACTCATTTTCACATTAAAAAAAAAATAGCTAGGGCAAAGAAGTAGGAAATCGGCATGAAGCAACAGAATCACAACCCTAAACTAGGGAAGCACAAGAAGAAAATAATTAAGAACTGACACCTGGTGTAAGAAACAGTTTTACAGGATAATGTTGAAACACCTGTTTAGCATGGATTTCGGTGTTTTGGAGAAGAGAGCATGATGCTGGATTTTTCTCAGCATTCCCCCTGCTCTTCAGTCAAAAACCTGCTCCCAGAATGGCTTGACACAGCCCCTGTCCTCAGGCTTTCCACCTAAAAACATAGCACAAAAGGAAAAAAGGCCTGGAGGGAGGAGGAAAAAAATCCAGCCAAGCACCCACTCATTCCTCAGCCTGGGTGCCACTGCTAAGAGTCCTGTCCCACATGAATGCCAGATTCACGTTCAACAGAAGCAGAGCGCTTACTTTTCTTCACATCTAAGCTCCTGTACACCAAGATCATCTCCCACTTTCATTAATCCAGGACAGAGCCAGCGTTCTCTTTGCTGAAGGCTTGGCTATTGTCACTTTTTAAAGAATTTGCATTGGCTTTAAGCATTCAATGAAAGGGGGCGTGCACAGAGTGGGGAGTCTTCGCAAACCTTGTCACAGGCATGAACGCAAGGAGATTGCTTTCTATAGTGCCATGGTATGTTACTTCCCCGCTTCCTTCCCTAGATGGGCGACCAGCTCCTCCAATGAAACGTCAGCTCCAACGGAAGGAAAAGAACAAAGAGTTTGCAGTAAGTAGCTGGAAGGCTCCTGTTCCCAGGTAGTTTTGTGAGTTTTGGAGGACGACTGCCTAGCGACAGTGATGCATGCATTGGCTACTTCCCGATTAGACTTCTGTAACGTGCTCTAGGTGGGACTGCCCTTGAAGACGGTCCGGATACTTAAGATGGTGCAAAATATTGCTGCCAGGTTGCTGACGGGGACTGGGCGTTGTTCTCATATAACCCCAGTCCTCCGTCAGCTTCACTGGCTCCCCATCGAAGCCCGGGCCCAATTCAAGGTGCTGGTCATTACCTATAAAGCTCTAAACGGCTTGGGACCTGGGTATCTAAAGGAGCGCCTCCGGGAGCCCTCCGTGAAAGATATTAGGAGGGTGAGTACCCGGAGGAGGGCCTTCTCTGCGGTGGCACCCAACTTATGGAACGTACTCCCCAGAGAGGTCCACCTGGCGCCGTCGTTATTTGTTTTTCGGCGCCAGGCCTAATTTATTTATTGGTTTTAATTGATTGCCTGGATTTTTCCAGTTTTTATATATTTGTATTGTTATTTATTTGTTGGAAGCCGCCCCGAGGCTTCGGCGAATGGGGCGGCATACAAGAATCCCAAATAAAATAAAATAAGAAATCAGGACTTCCCTTGAGCATGTGCTAATTCACGAAAGTAAGCCAAGCCAGAACTATTGTTGGCTTGTGTCCTACAAGGAAAACTTCCAGGATGTTCTCAGCTGGCGAGAGAGGGTCAGCTTTAGAGGCCCTAAATAATCCTCGGTGATCTACCAATGTTAGGGAGTTCAGTTCCCACCATCCCTGGCCCCTGAGAGCTGAATGTGATGGCTGACACAGTCCAAACATCTCAAGGGGAGGAATGGAATACTGTGTTCTGAGCGTATGACGAGTGCGCCTCCATTCCTCCCACTGGATAACTGCAACTAAGCCGCTTTTTGCTTCTCATCCGGGATAAGGGACAAGGCCAAGAGGCGGGCCCCAGCCTCGGTGAACATCTTTTATAGCGATAAATATAATCCGGTTTTAGCAGTTGGTCTTCTCTGCTAAACCTTCAAACTGTTGGAACTGTGTACGTTCTGGAATATGGCTGAGGATGCTCTCAAAGGCCCCGGCAGCAGCTCCACAGGGTCTCTGGGCTGGAAGACAAGGAGGTTAAGCATTGAAACCCACTTTAGATTTGCAGTCTAGGCCGGGCTTTCCGCAGCCTGGTTCCTGGGACATGTGAAAGACAGCAAGTTAGAGAAGATGGGGCATAGGCTAGTGTGTTTCTCAGGCACTGTCACAGCTCTTCGTCTTGCCCCCTCAGCGTCGTGTCGTCCAGCTTTCTGCAGAGATAGATCATGGGATGGAGAAGTGGAAGGCAAAGCAGAGACAACAAGAAGAAATGGAAAAGGAAAAGCAAGTCAACCGACTGCAGCCCAAAGGAAATATCTGTTCTCGGGCCTCCAAATAAACACTTTATGTAGTTTGTTTATTGTATTTATATCGCACCTTCTTTTCCTTCCAGGAAACTCAGGGCAGCTTCCGTAAGCCTCCTCCCCCTCTTAGTCTTACCCTCACAACAACAACCCTGTGAGGTAGGCAGGGCTGAGCATCTGTGGCTGGCCCAAGGTCGCCCAGTGAGCAGCAGATCTCCTCATTCCCAGTCCCACGCGGCTCGCAATTGCCTCCCGCTGGCTCTTTCATTTCTGTTGTGCCTTTTCCCAATGGTTGCGGCTCTCCCACTTCATCTTGGGCAAGACGTGTAAAAGAATGCCTTTTTATATATAATATAATATAATATAATATAATATAATATAATATTCATTCATTCATTTATTTAGGAGACTTCTATGCTGCCCCATTTGCCGAAGCCTCGGGGCGGCTCACATCCATAAAAGAATGCCTTTTTATTTATTTATTTATTTATTTAGGAGACTTCTATGCCACCCCATTCGCCGAAGCCTCGGGGCGGCTCACATCCATAAATAAACTTCCATAGAATAATATAAATTAACAGTATAAATTAAGTCGTCCTGGCCAAAGAATAAAATGAATAAATACTATTAACAATTAAAATGACATTTGAATAAAAAGGTCTTCGCCTGGCGCCGAAAAACGAATAACGACGGCGCCAGGCGGACCTCTCTGGGGAGCGCATTCCATAGATGTCATTATGAGTTTTTCGGTGCCAGGTTAAGACCTTTTCATTTAATCCATATTTTAATGTTTTAATATTGAATTTTAATATTGTATTTGCAGCCAGAGTGGGTCGTTAATTTATTTATGTCATTAGTCGTCCAGAGACGCTGGTAATTGGACAGCATATAAATGTCATAAATAAGTAAATAACAGGTAAGCCAGAGAACGGATTTCCAGTGTCACTCTGGCACGGCCTTCCTTGGGGCCGTGGCATCTTCCTGCGGCAGCCATGTTATACATCACACGGCTTGGAAGGTGCAGAGCGTCCGCAGTTCGGAGCAGCTGAGGATCAGACCGCGGTGCTCCTCAGCCTGGCCAGGTCGCTGTAAGGTGGCACCTTTAATGTGCGACCCTGGTCATTGTCCCCGGTGACATCTGTCAAGCTTTTACCATGGGGCAGAACCCAATTCCGCAGCCGGGTGTACAGCTCTCTCCAGAACAAAAGGATCTTGTGCGGATCGTCGGATGGGTCCAGCCCACAGACGAGGCAGTGCTAAGACCTAGGTGTGCTATTGGCCACAGTCTCCCCATATCTTCCCACACACTGCGCCTCTGGGCACAACAATGACATTCCCTCACTCATGAGAGGTGTTTTGTCCGAAGCCTCCGATGCATAAACATTACAGATGAACGTTTGTGGCTCCAAAATTAACTAGACATCATAGGAGATGGTTTGACCAGAATCCTCAAGGTGATCTTGAGATGGGGAATTAAATCACGGAGGCTTGAAAGATGGGGTTGGGACCTAACTCACCCACACATTGAATGGATAAATGCATGATCCGGTTCAGACAGGGAAGTTCAATTTCTCAGTGTCCAGTGTGCTGCACAGTAGAGGGGAGGCCGTCGTGGATTTAGCAATCTCTCCAAGCTGGGAGAATGGACACCAAAATACCAAATGCAGTGTTGTTAGTTGCGAAGTCGTGTCCGAGCCACAGCGATCCCATGGACAACACTCCTCCAGGTCTTCCTGTCCTCCACCATCCCCTGGAGTCCACCCAAGCTCACGCCAACTGCCCCAGTGACCCCATCCAGCCACCTCATCCTCTGCCATCCCCTTCTTCTTTTGCCATCTATTGTTCCCAGCATCAGGCTCTTCTCCAGGGAGTCCTTCCTTCTCATTAGGTGGCCAAA